CGTACGGGTTGATAATACGGGTAATCTATGGGTTGCAGGTTGAGATATGTAGACCATAACCCGTTTTTACGAGTCGGGTTAATGTCAAGTTGATGGGTCGGGTGTAATTTTACCAGGTCTACATATCATATAGGGTCCTTAAGTTAATGTTAAGTAGAAACTGTCCCTTTGAACCCTAATGAGCTAGAGAAAACGGTAAAAATAAGAACCAATTTCACAGTGCAAGAAAGAACCGAGCTCTTGGAGTTTTTGAAGGCCAACTAGGATGTGTCTGCGTGGACAACAAATGAAATGCTCGACATTCCAACAGAATTTGCAATCCACTAGTTGAATACAAATCCCACCAGAAAGCCAGTGGTTCAAAAGTGTCACCTTGTTGGCCCTAAGAAGCAAGCTGCTATAGATGAAGAAATATAAAAGTTATTACAGGCAGGCTTCATCAGGAAAGTTGAATATTCTGAATGGGTGTTCAATCCTGTGCTCGTTAAGAAACCTAATGGCAAGTGGAGAATGTGCATTAACTTCACCAATTTGAATGAAGCATGTCCCAAAGATCCGCACCCTTTACCTAAGGTGGAGAAGTTAGTAGAGCGAGCAACTAGGCATGAACGCATGAGCTTCCTTGACACTAGCTCGGGATATCATCAGGTTCAGTTGTGGTTGGATGACCAAGAAAAAACAACATTTTATGCGAAGGATGCAATCTACTATTATGTCATGATGCTGTTTGGTTTGAAGAATGCTAGCGCGACATATCAAAAGTTAATTCAGGTCGTCTTTAAGCTTCAAATTGGCAGGAATATTGAAGTATGTGTTGATTATATAATTGTCACCAGTCTACGAGCTAAAGATTATATTGGCGACCTGAATGAAACATTTCAAAATCTACGCCGAGCGTAGATGACATTAAATCCGTTGAAACGTACATTTGTTGTAAAATCGGACAAATTCCTAGGGTATGTGGTATCCAAGAATGGGATTGAGGTGAACCCAGACAAGGTTGAGGCTGTGCAGCAGATGGAACCCCTTAAAACAATAAAAGATGTACAACGTTTAACAGGTCGTCTCGTTGCTCTGCACAGATTCATTACTAGGTCAGTAGAAAAATGCCTTCTGTTCTTTAGAGCTTTGCGAGAGCCCAAGAACTTTCAATGGACTGATGAATGCCAGCAGGCTTTTGATGAATGCCAGCAGGCTTTTGATGAACTCAAACAATACCTAGTATCACCACCCTTGCTCTCCAAGCCTATTAAAGGAGAGAAGTTATACTTGTATCTGAGGATTACAGATGAGGCAGTTAGCTTAGTTTTGTTAAAAGAGCAAGATAAACGTCAGAAACCCATATGTCATACAAGTAAAGTCTTATAGGGTGTTGAACGTAATTATCTAATTGCTGAAAAGGCTACTTTTGCACTCGTCTGCACTGCCCGAAAGCTAAGGACATATTTCCAATCTTATGAGATTGTTGTTTACACTAACCTGCCACTACGGAAGATATTGTAGAAGCCGGAACTTTCTAGTCGGCTAATTGGATGGGCAATTGAGCTGAGTGAATACGACCTCAAATTTCAACCGCGCACAACCATTAAAGGCCAAGCCCTAGCAGATTTCTTGGTGGAGTGTCATCCAACGGTTGTAGAGGAGGCCACACCGTCATACCCGGTATGGGCTTTGTACATAGATGGGGCCGCCAATGTTGAAGGATCAAGGGTAGGGGCAGTATTAATGGGCCCAGATGGCTTCAAATCCAGGCACACCTTGAGATTCAAATTTCAAACAACGAATAATACTGCTGAATATGAAGCACTCATTTACGGTCTGAAGTTAGCGTCCAAGCTGAAAGCGCAAAGCATAAGAATCTTTAGTGACTCCCAACTCGTAGTGAATCAAGTAAATGGAAGCTGTGACATCAGAGACCCTCAGCTCAATCGTTACGCCTCTATGGTCAATAGGATCAAATCAAGCTTTATCTCGTTCCAGATTGACAAGATATTGAGGGCGGATAATCGACGAGCTGATGAGTTATCGAAGTTAGCTTCATCACAAGACATCAATCCTCAGAGGACAACATTTGTTGAAGTACTTGATGCCCTGAGCTATACCAACCTAGCAGTTGAGTGCCAAGTACTAAGTACAAATCCCTCTTCACCGACCTAGACTACACCCTTGATTAATTACTTGCGAAACGGTGAATTACCTAAGGATCCATTTGATGCTCGATTAATCAGACGTAAGGTGGCACATTTCACTCTAATTGACGATCAGTTATATAAACAAGCAGCTTCAATGCCCTTATTATGTTACCTCACTCCTTATGAAGCTGAATATGTCATAAGGGAAGTTC